AAATGTCATGTTGTTTTGAGAGGATCCTACTGCGTTAATTTTCTAAGTCCTTTTTGCACTGTTTCTCTTGCCTTAGGAGTGTGTGTGTGTGTGTGTGTGTGTGTGTGTGTGTGTGTGTGTGTGTGGATAAACATCTAGAATCATTATATACCCATGTAAAGTTTCAAGTTTCTTTCTGTTTATCTTTAGTATACAATTTTACAATGACATATTCCTTAGTGACCGAGAACAAAATAAAATAACAAATACTACAAAAAAAAAACAAGTCCCCCTTTTGTTTTTATATTTACATTATCCTGTTTTTGTTCTCATTCATCTGTCAATTTATATATCAAGAGATTACATTCTCATATGTGTCTTGTGCCTTACCTGGGTGTGGGTCACTTTCTACTCGTTGAATTCTCTTCTCTGGGAAGGGGAAAGGTGGGGAGGGGGAAGGTGGGGAGGGGGAAGGTGGGGAGGGGGAAGGTGGGGGGGGAAGGTGGGGAGGGGGAGGTGGGAGGGGGAAGGTAGGCTGAGGAGAAGGTGAGGAGGGGGAAAGTGGGGAGGGGGAAGATGGGGAGGGGTGAAGGTGGGGAACGGGGGAAGGTAGGGAGAGACGTACGTTGAACTTTCAGAAGAAAAAAAAACAACTCTTTCTTAGGTTTGGAATAATTCTGCAATAAAATCAGAAAACTTGAGATTAAACCTTAGAAATAAAGGAAGAGTTGGACTTAGAAATTAGACAGACAGACAGGACGGGAGTATCAATGACATCACCATTGACACATAAATATGAAGGAGAGACTCAAAACACCCCTCGGAGATGACACACAAATTACAAACAACGTAATTATCCTCCCTGAAAGCAATACCTAGACGCAGTTACGACACATTGAACAATTACTGCACAAGGAAGAGATATACAGGTGGGTACAAATAAAAGAAACAATAGGTCAGACAAAACTATTAAGGAAATATTGAGAGAATGGGTCGTGTAAGATGGGTGATAGGAGTAAACATATAAACTTCAGAGATGGAGAGAGGAAGATCAAGGAAGGAGAGAGAAGGATGCCCCGAGGAGGAGTAAGGACATTTAGGAAGCGGCGGTGTATACACGTATGTCGAGGTGGCTGGTGGAGATCATGTGTGTGTGTGTGTGTGCAATGTTCTCTTGTTTCTGGCCACCCTCTTGTAAGAAGGTAAAGGCTTAAGATAGAAAGAGTTAGAGTTGGGGGGGTAGGGAGGAGAGAGAGGGTAAACGAGGGTAGGAGAGCGTAGAGAGAGGGGGGGACGAGGGTGAGGAAGAGAGAGAGAGAGAGAGGGGAGGGGGAGGATGAAGGTAGAGATCACCACTCCTCTGTAACAAGGGTTAGGATGCCACACGTGTCTGGCAACACTACCGCCTCAACATTCCTCCCCCACACACCACCACCACCAACACCTGACCCACGACCGTGTTGCTGGGGCAAATGTCACTCTCCTATGACCTCAGAGCGACACGAGAAGCTGAAACTCATTAAAATAAGCTTATTTTTGCCTTTACTGGTCTTGCTAATGGATATTTTTTTTTTGTGTATGTAGGAGTTTTTTTTTTCGAGTGTGACTTACTGCAGCCACTGACCAAATCTCCGTCACCCTTGTTGTTATGACAGCTGCTGAGCCTCTCGATAGCTGTGGCTGTCTTGAAAGGCGCCTGATAAACACATTTACAATCTGACATTTAAAAACAGCAAGTAGTGTAATAAGGTGAAAGTAAATAATATTGTCTGTAGTGAGAGAATGTTTAATGTACCCAGAAGAAATGTAAGACTCGTAGAACATTAGTTGAAACTCAGATATATATACACGGTAGAGATATGTATAATACACCACACATCAATACACACACACACACACTAACTTCCTCGGGTGAGAGTTAACTAACTGACTGCCTCTCGTGTTACTGTTGGTAGATTCAAGACTTACTGAGGGAGTTAGTATGTATATAAACATCTTAATATACAAACATACACCGATGTAAACATTCGTAAATATGCACTGTACATACACTTACCTGGCTGGATGGTCTTACCTGGCTGGACGGTGTTACCTGGCTGGATGGTCTTACCTGGCTGGATGGTCTTACCTGGCTGGATGGTCTTACCTGGCTGGATGGTCTTACCTGGCTGGATGGTCTTACCTGGTCACAACATTCAATTATATGTAGGTTAAAATGCCAACAGCTTGCGCATGCCAATATATAACCGCCACCCCACACACACACTGTCACGCTGCTTGATTAAATAGAAGAATACATACACACAGGCAGACGATTGTACATACTTATACATACATATACAGTATATATATATATATATATATATATATATATATATATATATATATATATATATATATATATATATATATATATATATATATATATATATATATAGGAGTACAATCATACATATACATACATGTATATACTTGCATACATATCGCTGCACACACACACACACACACACAGTATCAACTTCCGCAAGTAAAAGTTATCTACTTACACAAAACTCGTTCAAGACAAAAGTAAAACTCAGCATTTCCATCTGTCTGCACAAGCCAGTTATCTCAGCCCAGATCCAGACGAACCAGTTTATAAATCAATACACTGCGACGAAAGATTTGCAACATTCGTGTGCAAATAAGCAGTCTTTCTTGCATACGTATTCAACATTCTATCCGCATTTGAATTCCACTCCATCGTCCCACACATCTGTCAAAATGGCAACACAACACATACCAATACGTTCCTGTATGTGTATAATGCGGTCAACGAGACGGGTCGGCATTGTTAAGCGTCTCTGTCACTCTGGAGTGAGAATCGGCTGAGTAATACTGTTTTGTCACCTAACCTACGACCCAGTGATGTCACAATGTCAACAAGAATCACCACACTCCGAAAATCATTAATTTAGCAGCCGTTTGAAGACTCCTGAACTTATAAGCATCAGTAATAATAAGCTTCAGCCTCATGATATTCTACGAACTTAAATCTCACTTCATTTCTGGGGTAAGGTTAGGTTAGGTTAGGGTAAGGTAATACCAAATCTTCGTTGTTTATCTGTAGCTTAGAGTGCGTGACCTAACCACTGTCGAGAGTGCGTGAGCCAACACCTGCAGCACAGAACCTTTCACGTACGTTACACAAGAGAGATTACTCTTTTTTTTTTTAATAAATTAGGTGACGCAATACATACCAGGAAGGTCAGGGCGATGTGACCTCTTAACCGTACAGGAAAGAGAAACAAGAGTCGTCCTCATAGTTTGACGCCCGAAGCCTTTTAGAATGCACGAGAGAGAGAGAGAGAGAGAGAGAGAGAGAGAGAGAGAGTTGGTGAATTTGTACAATCTCTTCAAAGACATACATTAGGCTCAAGTTTCCCAGCTAATAATCACCATCAAGCTTTACAAGTTACTGATTTTCTCCTTCAAAAACTCGGCAGGCAAATGCTACCAGAGCTGAGAGCAGGTACCGTAACTGGCACCAACCATCATAATGCAAACCTATCTTCATCTGATCACGGCGCAGGATAATGGGAGTCTTTGATACAGAATTGAAACAGCATAATAAACACTCTAGACTGTGTTTATTCAAGTGAAGAAAAAGAAAAGTCGAAAGAGGACGCGAACCAAAGTTATTCAAGAGCTGTCAGGAAAAAATTATGACGGGATTGTACATCTTGTTGACGATGATAATTGAAAGGTCGAAGGTGTCCAGAAAGAAAGACTCCAAGATGAGCTTCTGTTCCCCCCGAGTTGATGAACACTTGTTACTAGACGATTGTAATCTGATGCTTCAACAGCCAAGATGTTTAAGCCACCCGTTCACCAAGTCTTAATACACTAGACAACAACTTTTTATAAAATAAGACTTTTTTGTAAATAATTACTTAAACTATTATCTTGTTTAGACTGAAATCGGTTTTGTATGATTGTCAATCCTGTCCTTTTTATCTTTGGGGAATTAATATGAATAAATATCTCTCGGTGGTCGTAAAGTTCAGCATTATTGGACTTTTTGGTTTGCATCAGACTACTTCTACTGTCTCGGCTACAAATTCAAAATCAATGTAAAAAACGAGAAAATCAGGCAATTTTATTTCTTCGCTACAAAAATAAGAGTCAACAAATCCGGAAAGCAAAGACGTGGAAACTAAAGATGAATATTGACGTTATATCATATGAGTTGGTTCTGGTGATGAGAATTCGTCACTCTACTAATTTTCGTCCTTCACCACAACCAGTTCTATTCTCCCCCGCTGCCTGTTAACCACGGAGCTCCTGGTAGGTAATTTACCTTATCAGATTTCAGGGGAATTATGGCGGATGTTTATAGTGGAGGCGGAGAAGGAAGCAGGGAGATCAAAAGTCCGCTAACCTCGTATCTCTCTCAGGACTATGTGGGATATCACGAGGTCCACAATACAGTAAACATCACCATTTGATTCGTTTTAAGTCACTCTATCAGTAAAGTCTATCCATAAAATGTTCATAAAATAACGTATCTCCATATTTTTTTTTCTTCTATGTATTACGGTTACAGTGTCAAGTCAAAGCTGTCAATCCTATTTAGAAATTTGGAAAGATATGATGTGTTCGTTTAAACTAGGCGAGATACACACCCGTGGGTCAATACGCGTCGACCACATGCACCATAGTCTCTTATCGCCTCCCGTGACCTCAACATGTTATAGAATCAAACTCTGGTAGTGACATTTTAACATTGATATTCTTGATATCTTCAGGTAAGGTTTAGTATCTCGTTAAAGCTTTTGCTGCTCAGACCAGGACGTGTTCTTCTCGGTTCAGGTAAGGTTTATTTCCAACACGAGAGAGCCTATCACATTCACCAAAGGCTAGATGGAAAACGTTCTCTCTTTATCAGTAAGTAGAATTATTACAAGAGAACATTCCTTGCAATGCTTTTAACTCTCTCTTACCAATTGAAACTTAGCAGGTGCTGTTTCTTCTTATTTCAGTTATGTTGAGCCAGACACTGGACAGCGGTCGTACACGTTTGCGGTGCCGATGGATGGCTGCGGCACGGCGGCCAGTGACGACGACGACACCATCGTCTCCAACGTTGTCATATTCCAGATGGACTCCACTGTACAGGTGAGAGAAAGAGTGAGATAATGTGAAAGAAAGATTGAGATAATGTGAGAGAAAGGGTGAGATAATGTGAAAGAAAGAGTGAGATAATGTGAGAGAAAGGGTGAGATAATGTAAGAGAAAGAGTGAGATAATGTGAGAAAGAGAGACTCTGCTTTGCAGTTGAGTGAGTGAATGTTTGAGAGAGAGTCATGTCTGTTAGGCCGTAAATATTCATTGCTATCCATTAATGTCTCTGATAACTAGTCAGTCTACTGTAACGTTCAGTGTTAGGTAGCCTTTATCAGTTCCAGTTCAGTTATTTTACTGAAGCTGTATATTCTGTAGTTCAGTAAGTTGCAGTGCAGCATGAATTACTAACTAATGGTAATCATCTGTGATTATTCAGTGAAATAAGCACTCGATTCTTTCCAATAATCAACATGACGCAAAACTTCAAAGAACAACTAATTTGCTTAAATGGGCATGAGAAATCATATAGTTTATCTATTTTATTATAGCTCCCGAAACATTAAAATTACGAGGAATCATTATTTTCAAACACCCTGAGAAGTCTGCGGCAGTTTCAATAGTATTACTGCAGATATGGTACAATAGCTATGAAAAGAAGTCACACCTCAAATTATCAACCCAGGTGTGAGTTCAGATGTGGTTTCATTAAAGCCATTATTCTTTAATTTCTTGACCTGAGCATATCCTGTGAGTTGCTCATAGGAGTACTGATCTATTGGTATAGGGATAATATGCCCCCGATGTGTGGTTTCTACAGTTACAGTGTGGCTTCATCTATTGGTGTGAGAGGAAGTACTTCAGTCCTTTGACCAACGTAAAATGCAAGTGACAGCTAGGAATATCCCTCTTATTTTAAGCTACATATATCTATAATTAACTAAAATCACCTGCCACCACTTGTAATCTGATGGCAGTAAGGAAACATACAGTAAAACAGACATCAAGTCTAAACGTTGCACTTAGCATTTCTGAGAGAAATTAGCTATAACATTTCTTGGTCTCGTGTGTAGGAGCTGTGGGACACGGCCAAGAAGCTCTCATGTGTGTGGACCAACAAATATAACAAGGCCGTCAACTTCGAACCTCTTCAAGTGTCTATGTTAGAAGTGGTTCAGACTCGCTTCGAAGGTGATGATATCAAGTGTTGGATGGACATACAGCGAGGGACATACCCCCATGTGAGTACTGTTGTCGATACTTTGTTTCGTAACTTAGTGCTTTGATACTATACTATACTATACTATACTATACTATACTATACTATACTATACTATACTATACAAGAGTTAGGAAGAAATTTTTAGCGGGAAACACCGAGATTAACAAAGTAATACTAATTAGGCTTTTAAACTTCACATATTGACCCTGAACTTGAATATGTAATTATTGTATATTTATCATTCCGTGTGTTTGAACATTTTACTTTACAATTTCCACCATAAAAAGACTATTTCTTCCATCACATCTTAAAGACTAAGCCTATGGACGGTATTCTGCGCATCGGAGAGCCGCTGACGGTAATGGTATACCTAAAAGATACCGAGAGGCGACTCGATGTGGCGGTGCGAGATTGCTGGGCCTATGGAGAACCTGAATTCGAAGATCCAGCAACTCCGAGCCTTCAAATGACCTCCAGTAACGGGTGTCCAACGTAAGTCCAGGACCTTCTTCACTTGTTGTTTGATATGATGAGTTTCTCAACAATAACCAGAAACATGCATCAGGTTTCATGCAAATATTTATGTAAGCCAATACTGATATATTAATACAGTTCATTGACAACACACACTATGTATCAAGAAAAATTAGTTAAAGCTTCATTTCTTCATTGAAGGCGAATGAAGCTCATGCACTTCTGGGCCAGGACTTATGACACGTTTGATACCGGCGCCACCCTCATCACATACACTAATATGTCTGCCTTCAAATTCCCCGACCGCATGCAAGTGTTCCTCACGTGCAATGTACAGGTAAGGAACATATTCTTTCAATCAGAGAAATACAATGAAAAAAATTGAAAACACCAGAGCTAGGTTAGAGATTTGACTCAACCTGCTACAGCGGATTGCTCGAATGTCCATAGATGATCTTTACCCCTATATTCATTTGCTGTATACTGAGCTGGCTTAAGTGAATTAGGCAGTGTAAGGATAAATAGTATGTTTCATGTGACTTTACATAGAAAATTAGATCTAAATTTATTTTGTATATTAAATGAAGTGATAAATACTTTAGTTGAATCTTCTAAGTAAATGAGTATCAATTATTTCACTTTGTTTAGATTTGCACGGAGCACTGTGAAGACCGCTGCATAGGTGAACCAAGTGAGCCTGTGACGTTCGTAACAACACATGATATCATCAAAGTGACTACGCCTCTTACGCCAATACGGCTGCCACCACCGCCGCCTCCATACTGCCGACCTGGATCAAAGGATCCTAGATGTCGCCCTAGTATTACTAAACCTATATGCGGACCAGGATCGACAGACCCAGAATGTAGGCGGCCATTAAGTCCTGCTTGTTATCCAGGATCACGAGATCCTGCGTGTAAGCCGACGACAGTCCGTCCACCTGCACCTCCTCCATTAGTTACTCAAAAACCAATTTGTTATCCTGGATCTCGAGACCCAAGTTGTCCAAAACCAACTCCTCCAACAAGAAGGCCTTTCACCTGCAGACCAGGATCCAAAGATCCACGATGTCCCCAACCAACTACATCACGCCCATCAACCCCATCATGCTATCCTGGATCACCAGATCCACGATGTCCTAAACCAACCACACCCTTCACCTGTAGACCAGGATCCAAAGACCCACGATGTCCCCAACCAACTACATCACGCCCATCAACCCCATCATGCTATCCTGGATCAAGGGATCCACGATGTCCTAAACCAACCACACCCTTCACCTGTAGACCAGGATCCAAAGACCCACGATGTCCCCAACCAACAACACCACGCCCATCAACCCCATCATGCTATCCTGGATCCACCGGATCACGATGTCCAAACCAACTACAAAAGACCTACCACACCTTCCTGCAGACCAGGATCCAAAGACCACGATGTCCCCCAACCAACCACCACGCCCATCAACCCCATCATGCCATCCTGGATCAAGGATCCACGATGTCAACCAACCACACAAAAGGCCTGCTACTCACACCCTTCACCTGCAGACCAGGATCCAAAGATCGAAGATGTCCCCAACCAACTACACCACGCCCATCAACCCCATCATGCTATCCTGGGATCACCGGATCCACGATGTCCTAAACCAACCACACCCTTCACCTGCAGACCAGGATCCAAAGATCGACGATGTCCCCAACCAACTACACCACGCCCATCAACCCCATCATGCTATCCTGGATCACCGGGATCCACGATGTCCAAAGATCAAACCAAACACGCCCATCAGCATCATGCTACAAAGGCCTACCACCCTTCTTCACCTGCAGACCAGGATCCAAAGATCGACGATGTCCCCAACCAACTACACCACGCCCATCAACCCCTTATCAGCATCTGATCACCTGGATCCACGATGTCCTAAACCAACCACACAAAGGCCTACCACCTCTTCACCTGCAGACCAGGATCCAAAGATCGACGATGTCCCCAACCAACTACACTGACGCCCATCAACCCCATCGTGCTATCCTGGATCACCGAACCACGATGTCCTAAACCAACCACACAAAGACCTACCACACCCTTCCACCTGCAGACCAGGATCCAAAGATCGACGATGTCCCCAACCAACTACATTACGCCCATTAACCCCATCATGCTATCCTGGATCACCGGATCCACGATGTCCTAAACCAACCACACCCTTCACCTGCAGACCAGGATCCAAAGATCGACGATGTCCCCAACCAACTACACCACGCCCATCAACCCCATCGTGCTATCCTGATCACCGGATCCACGATGTCCTAAACCAACCACACAAAGACCTACCACACCCTTTCACCTGCAGACCAGATCCAAAGATCGACGATGTCCCCAACCAACTACACCACGCCCATTAACCCCATCATGCTATCCTGGATCACTGATCCACGATGTCCTAAACCAACCACACAAAGACCTACCACAATCTCTTCACCGCAGACCAGGATCCAAAGATCGACGATGTCCCCCAACCAACCACACCACGCCCATCAACCCCATCATGCTATCCTGGATCACCGATCCACGATGTCCCAAACCAACCACACAAAGACCTACCACACCCTTCACCTGCAGACCAGGATCCAAAGATCGACGATGTCCCCAACCAACTACACCACGCCCATCAACCCCATCATGCTATCCTGGATCACCGGATCCACGATGTCCTAAACCAACCACACAAAGGCCTACCACACCCTTCACCTGCAGACCAGGATCCAAAGATCGACGATGTCCCCAACCAACTACACCACGCCCATCAACCCCATCATGCTATCCTGGATCACCGGATCCACGATGTCCTAAACCAACCACACAAAGGCCTACCACACCCTTCACCTGCAGACCAGGATCCAAAGATCGACGATGTCCCCAACCAACTACACCACGCCCATCAACCCCATCATGCTATCCTGGATCACCGGATCCACGATGTCCTAAGCCAACCACACCCTTCACCTGCAGACCAGGATCCAAAGATCGACGATGTCCCCAACCAACTACACCACGCCCATCAACCCCATCATGCTATCCTGGATCACCGGATCCACGATGTCCTAAACCAACAACACAAAGACCTACCACGCCCTTCACCTGCAGACCAGGATCCAAAGACCCCCGTTGTCGTCAACCAACTTCTCCACCATCACCTCCCCCTGTCTGTCCACCTGGTTCAAAGGATCCTGAGTGTATTAAACTATCATCCCCTCCGTGCATACCTGGTACTGGTGACCCGAGGTGCCCAGGTACCCCTTCACCATTTATATGTGTTCCTGGTTCACGGGACCCTCGATGCCCTCAACCAACTTCTCCACCATCACCTCCCCCTGTCTGTCCACCTGGTTCAAAGGATCCTGAGTGCATTAAACTATCATCCCCTCCGTGCATACCTGGTACTGGTGACCCGAGGTGCCCAGGTACCCCTTCACCATTTATATGTGTTCCTGGTTCACGGGACCCTCGATGCCCTCAGCCTACAACACCCCGCCCGACAACGCAAATTGTAGAGGGTGGAGACAAGCTCTCTGTCACGACCAAGATGCCAGGAAAAGATCAGGACTTCCATAAAGAAGACGCAGATCCCAGATACCACGCCTTCCATTCATGTATGTACAGTATATGCTTGTACTTCGTTATTGTTCATACTTCACTTATATAACATCAAAATCTCAATAACAATGTAATTCGAAATATTGATCGACCCTACACCTCTAATACACTGTTCTCCTTCTAACACACTGTTCTCCCTCTAACACACTGTTCTTCCTCTAACACACTGTTCTTCCTCTAATACACTGTTCTTCCTCTAACACACTGTTCTTCCTCTAACACACTGTTCTCCCTCTAACACACTATTCTTCCTCTAACACGCTGTTCTTCCTCTACCACGCTGTTCTTCCTCTAACACACTGTTCTTCCTCTAACACACTGTTCTTCGCCTAACACACTGTTCTTCCTCTAATACACTGTTCTTCCTCTAACACACTGTTCTTCCTCTAACACACTGTTCTTCCTCTAACACACTATTTCTGTTCTTCCTCTAACTTACCTTTTCTTCCCTAACACACTCTAACTTTTCATCTTCTTCCTCTAACACACACTATTTCTTCCTCCTTAACACACACTGTTCTTCCCTCTACTTACACACTGTTCTTCCTCTAACACACTGTTCTTCCTCTTTTCAATTCTTCCCTCTAACACTGTTCTTCCTCTACACTGTTCTTCCTCTAACTTACACTGTTCTTCCTCCACACTAACACCTTTATTCTTCCTCTAACACACCTTTCTTCCTCCTCCACTGTTCTTCCTCTAACTTACCTCTGTTCTTCCTCTAACACTGTTCTTCCTCCTATTTTACAATTTCCTCCTAACACTTCTTCTCTAACACACAGTTCTTCCTCTAACACACACTGTTCTTCCTCTAACACAACACACAGTTCTTCCTCTTCTTTACTGTTGCTTCCTCTAACACACTGTTCTTCCTCTACCTGTTCTTCCTCCCTAACACCTGTTCTTCTCTAACACACTGTTCTTCCTCTAACACACTGTTCTTCCTCTCTTTCCCTAACACACACACTGTTCTTCCTCTGTTCTTACACTTTCATTATTCCTCTAACACGCTTTCTTCCTCTAACACACTGTTCTTCCTCTAACACACTGTTCTTCGCCCCTATTCCTGTTCTTCCTCTAACACCTGTTCTTCTAACACGCGTTTATTTCCTCTAAACACTTTATTTCTTCCTCTAACACACTGTTCTTCCTCTAACACACTGTTCTTCCTCACACTAACACACACTGTTCTGTTCTAACACTCTAACACACTGTTCTTCCTCTAACACCTGTTCTTCCTAACCGCTGTTCTTCGCCTAACACTGTTCTTTCTAACACACAGTTCTTCCTCCCCGCTTACACCTGTTCTTCGCCTAACACGCTGTTCTTCCTCTAACACACTGTTCTTCCTCTAACACACTGTTCTTCGCCTAACACGCTGTTCTTCCTCTAACACACTGTTTTTCGCCTAACACGCTGTTCTTCCTCTAACACACTGTTCTTCCTCTAACACACTGTTCTTCCTCTAACACGCTGTTCTTCCTCTAACACACTGTTCTTCCTCTAACACACTGTTCTTCCTCTAACACACTGTTCTTCCTCTAACACGCTGTTCTTCCTCTAACACACTGTTCTTCGCCTAACACGCTGTTCTTTCTCTTACACTCGCGATTATGATGATGTTTGTAAAAAGATGAAATATACTTTGGGTCTTCGAGAATGTGTATGTTAGTAATGTTAGTAAAAATGAGATAGGCAATAATGGACTATTGATAATTAATGTTTATCATGAATATATTATTATTGTTCTACCATAGTGTTTAAGTGATCATTGGGATTATCAAACATTACACTATTTTTGTTTCCTGGCATTACTCTTGTCATAAACATCACTATGTAAAGTGTTATTATTGTTTCTCCTGCCTGCGATGCTCGGTAACCCTCCCCGGACCAGCCTTGTCATTCTCAATAACAATGGCGAAAAATCATCGTATAAGGGCCAATTGCAAGAACAGTCGTGGGTTGTACGACGCCATTTACGATGACCTTCTTGCCCTGGTCTTTTTTCAGTTATACCACCCTTTTGAAGCTCTGGAGAAATCTCGAAGTTTCGATATTTTGAGTACAGCACTAGCTAATAATTCCCACCAGGAAACTTGTTTCGAGACTCCTCCAAAGCTTCGAAAAGTGCAGAATTCCATGTGTTAAAGGCGATATTGCTGAAAAAAGACCAGGGCAAGAAGGTCATCGTAAATGGCGCCGTACACCCCATAACCGTTCTTGCAGTGCTCGAGTCAGTCCGGAGTGACTCAAAGGGAAGATTAAACTCCTATAACCTAACCTAACCTAACCTAAGTAATGAATGTGGACGTGACAGTTGTACTTTTAGATGCTGCTGTACAGTGGTCTTTGGGGGTAGTTTATTTTTTAATTATATACTCACTTTTGTTCTCTTCTCCTCGACAGGGTTGTACCTTCCTCCTCCTAGACCTCGGAACCACGCTGGTCGCGGGCGTCGAGCAGCGGTGGTGGAGGGAGAGACGATGATGGTGAGCCTCGGGGTGCAGCAGCTGGTCACCGCCTCACCATCAAGGTCCAGCCACATCACCGTAGACACAGAGGGAGACAATCTCTTAATGGAAGTGAGCGACACTGGCCGCGTGGTGCTGCCGCTGCGGGAAGCTCGGCCTATGGTGGAGGAAGTGCAGCTCGATTACGGGACACCATACTCCAAGGCGCTGATCAAGAACGAGTATGCTCCTGTCGAGGAGGAGGTGCGAGGAGAACCTAAATATTCTTATCTGAAGTCTGAGAGAAGTCAGTCATCGTCATCGACGTTAACTACCTCCAACACCCTTCTGTTGTCACTCATGTTCGTAGGCGTGGTCGTGGGCGTAGTGGCCGCCGCCTTCACTTTCGTGCGCCCACTCCAGAGCAAGAACACGGGCGTCTTGACAGCTTAGATATCACTAAATAAAAGGATTATAAATTGTGTAACGTGAACTTACTAAACATCTCATACGAGTCAGTAGTGTAAAGAAATATGTTAACTGGTGATAACGGCAGAACGATCATAATGGTCTACATTAATGTTTGTTATGTATCTGTTCGACTCGCCGAGAAGGCTTTAAGCTTATTACCTGCTTCAAGAAGTAACAAAGTAATATTAGTATCTTGACTAGATAATTTTTAATTACAAAATTATCTTCAAATTAAGAAAATCTCTGAGCTGGCTTGGAGATCAATGAATATTAAGAAATTCCACAATATATATATATATATATATATATGTGTTCGGTACTCCAGCCTTCACTATACGTAAACGCTAATCATGCTCCAGAATTGTACCAGATGTAAGAAGCCCGACTCTCCACTCCCGTATGAACACCATCAAACGAGAGCTATATGTGAGAATTATAGTCCCGAGTGACCCCCCTCCATCACCCTCCTGAAGGTCACTAACAGAAGCCAGACTTGCCAAACCCAGGTCAGAGGTCAGCATGGGCGGCTCACCTCACAACAGCCGGCTGTCGTAAGGTGCACCCCCGTGTTTGACACGTTAAGGTGATATGGTTCTTCCATGCAGTAGTGTGTGTGTGTACAGTATTATTGTGTCAAACTCCCCTGCCCTCCGCCCCGCCCCGCTCCCCTCGTCATCCGTACCGTTGTCTTTCTTCGCTTGTTAGTTACAGTGCGACTGAGTAGAAGCTGATCCCAAGAGACAGTTGCTGGACTGGGGGAGTCTCTTAGCTGGTCAGGGTGACTTAACAATGTTTCTCTACCTGTGGGTGATAAATGCTGTGGTGTTGTAGATACGAGGAACATATTCTACACCCCACCAATGCTTCTCGATCTGTACACAACGACAGAAGGCTTAGAATATATATTAATAGAAGTCACAAGTCATGGCTATTAATCCAGACAATTGTTAATCACTAAAGTAATCACACTAATTGTTCATTAAGACATACTCCCAGGTAGTTAATTGTGGCAGACGGTAACGTGTTGTCCCTAATGGCCTACTTCACCACACACTGACTAGCTAACAGAACGTCCAGCTACTGATATGCATATTATTTTTTCTATCTTTTCTAGAAGTAAATCGCAAGATGAATGTTGTTACCCCCAAACTGCTTGTTAGTCTGTGGTAGTTGTGTGTGGTTAGTTCTCTTCGTGTACCTTTGGGGTTAAGCTTTCTAGAATATCTTTTATTTGTTCAGTAAAGAGAGAGACTTCCGCTGTTAGATGTGGTAATAAGTGTGTTTACATATAGACTATGTCCTATACTGAATATTTGTATTTCTTCTCTGTATTCTGGGCAGTTATTAAGAATATTATCACGTCCTCTGTATCTTTATGGTGTAATAAATTCGATAAAAATCCACACGAGTCCCTTTAAATGTGAGCTTCACAATCATTCACATCATGTGATAAAACTTAATACTAAGAAGTGTTATGTAGTCAATATTATTAGTAACAACCTGACTTTAAGCTGACGACGTTTACAAGTAACCTATGTATAAAATTACATATATATTCTCACGATATCAAAATAGTACTCAGATAAGTAACTAGTTTTAAGGAGACAAATAAATGTGTCCAGTTGATTAAAATACAATAGTACCCCTAATAACATAAATAAAAGCCGTATAACCTTAGCCCGACATATACCAGTGATATATACATATATATATATATATATATATATATATATATATATATATATATATATATATATATATATATATATATATATATATATATATCTTCAAAAATAAACTAACCCGGTTAGTTTAATCCTCAGAATGAACCCTGAGTTTGAGAGAGAGACGGTGTGTGGCTCCAAGGCCCCTGTGTCTCGGTGCTCAGAGGCCGAGTGTTGTTCAGGGTGCTGTGCTGTACTGTGGCGGAACCTACTAATAAAAATATGATCAGGTCTCTCTTGTTTTCTTCTCCTCGTCACTTAAATGAAATCCAGGTTATTTTTATAAGAGTTTCAAATGTCGCACAGGTGGGAGGGTGAGCTTAGAGTGAAAGGCTGACCAGAAGGCAGAGCACAGTGGAATTCTCGAGATGTCTGGAGCCAAAGGACAGAATTTAAAAAAAAAATAATAAGGCAGTTACACCTCCAACACCGTGACCTTGACCTAACTACACCAATTATAAAAAGTTTCCAGACTTTAAGAAAAATCAATTTGAGGACGAGCGAGTGATCTCAAGTGTAACCTCAAGTGTAAGAGGCATCAATGTCGTCCTTGAGACTCTCTCTCTCTCTCTCTCTCTCTCTCTCTCTCCCACCCTCACTCCCCCTCCCTCCAACAACACCAAATGAATTCTCAAAACACAAACACTCGTATCGTCCCGAAATATCACTTAAATTTTACCATCATCACATCATCAAGGAGAGTAAAGTTAGTTTCTCGGTGTTTACCTGTCAGTCAGACCTCTGGAGCTCAGGTATCCTGGGTCAACCTGTTGATTAAAGGTAAAGACTAAGGTATATTAGGGGTGTGTGTGTGTGTGTGTGTGTGTGTGTGTGTGTGTGTCGTATCTTGTTCACCTCCTACAACTGTGCTTGCTGGAACAAAGGAAGTACTGTAGACTCATAAAAACACCTGGACTCCACTAGAAGTATATCGGGTTATCACCACTACTTTGCTTGCTTACTTGTACAAAGGGAACATTGCCTCATCCCCGCTAGCGTGCCCAGTCAGTCAACTCCTCCTCGGGCGTCGTGGTCATGAGGTTAGGTTAGGTTAAGTCTCTTGAAAAGTTTATGACAGACAGTGACTTGACTTTCAGCATCATCTATTATGTTGGTTGCATAATACATGAAGTTAGCTCTCTCTCTCTCTCTCTCTCTCTCTCTCTCTCTCTCTCTCTCTCTCTCTCTCTCTCTCTCTGTCACAATAATCATTCCTCAGTTGTTCACCCATTAGTTTAACCTGTCACCTTCCCTCTCTCTCTCTTCACCCCTTTCTCCTATCACCTCTTTTATCCTCTCTATATTTCAATCTGTCTATCTGTCTCTGTCTGTCTCCTGCTGACATAAACATTATTCACTAGCAGGGGACAATGCTAAGTATGTGCTCTTGGTTCCGAAGCCGACAGGGAACACAGAAATTGGAAGAAGAGTAATGGAAGAAATACAAAACGAACGCGAAGATGGGAAAGATAAACAAAGGGAATGAAGAAAATGGAAGAGAGAAATGGAAGAAATGATGACAATATAGATAAGTGAAAGAGAGAAAATAGATATGAAAAGATGTTATATAAAAAGAACATCGGATAGTCGATGTACGAGCTGGTGACTCCTTATTGAACCCCAGAGAGAGTTGAAGGAGTCGTATTATGGGGTTAAAGATGATATAACATTGATTTAAAGGTTCATAAACACAATGTAAACACCCTCTACACACATACAAACAGACATATACTCATCACTCACATACTTAACACACACACACACACACACACAGTATGGGCCTAACCCTTGCACTAACCATATACAGGAGACAGTGGCGAGAAGCTATTCCCGGCATTTTAGACATCCACGGGGTATTGACCCGAGAGAGAGAGAGAGAGAGAGTCACGCACAAAGAGGGAGAGAAGGAAACATGTGAACAACGCAGAACAGGACACGCACGGGGGGAGGGGACGGAGGGAGGGAGGAAGAGGAGAGAGGGACACAGAGAGACAGAGACACAGAGAGACAGAGACACAGAGAGACAGAGACACAGAGAGAACTGGTTATGAGAGCAATTATTATAAGCGGACATTAACAGGTCAAGGGAAAACGTGCCAATTGGTATTTTTGAAGCGATTCACCTTTATTGAAGTCGAACCTGTGAGATGATTAGTGGGAGGCCGTGTGAAAGTGTGTGTGTGTGTGTGTGTGTTTGTACTGTTTATTTAGTGAGAATAAAGCAAATAATGAATAAGTAATAATGAAATATACACCGGATATTATTATTATTATTATTATTATTATTACTATTATTATTATTATTATTATTATTATTATTATTATTATTATTATTATTATTATTATTAATCTACTATGTGTATTTCATAATTAATATTTATGAATGAAGAGATTATCATAACTTGTTTGGAATATATACATTTGAGATGTTTTTATTAGTAAATACACACAAATGCGAAGTGTTTCTGCGTCTACGTCTATGTTTGCGTCTGCGTCTACGTCTATGTCTGCGTCTGCGTCTACGTCTATGTTTGCGTCTACGTCTACGTCTACGTCTGCGTCTACGTCTATGTTTGCGTCTACGTTCCATTTACACTTTTCGATTGAGGTGTATTTCGCCCTGTCTCTTACCTACAAGAAGCTTAATTAATCTCTTGACACTTTATAATGCTTCTTTAACTAACTATATAAAGCTTAATTATTCTACTGACACTTTATAATGCTTCTTTAACTAACTATATAAAGCTTAATTAATCTTTTGACACTTTATAATGCTTCTTTAACTAACTATATAAAGCTCAATTAATCTCTTGACACTTTATAATGCTTCTTTAACTAACTATATAAAGCTTAATTATTCTACTGACACTTTATAATGCTTCTTTAACTGACTATATAAAGCTTAATTAATCTCTTGACACTTTATAATGCTTCTTTAACTAACTATATAAAGCTTAATTATTCTACTGACACTTTATAATGCTTCTTTAACTGACTATATAAAGCTTAATTATTCTACTGACACTTTATAATGCTTCTTTAACTGACTAAAATAAATAAAACTTACATTATATTAGCTGTGGGTAGATTAAGCCATATAAGTGTCATGGTATATAACTAATTTGTGGATCATTTTCACAGTTAATGTTGGTTTATGGGGAGGAAGGGGGATGAGGAATGGGTGATGGGAAATGGGGATAGTTAAGTCCTTGTTGATGTTCTTGGTTAGAGAGGGTATATGAGGAGATGGGAAGGGATATTTAATGGGGTGATGGGAAGGGGTATTTAATGGGGTAATAGGGAGGGTTATTTAATGGGGTGATGGGGAGGGCTATTTAATGGGGTGATGGGGAGGGCTATTTAATGGGGTGATGGGAAGGGTTATTTAATGGGGTGATGGGGAGGGTATTTATGGGGTACTTCACTGAGGTCTCACTTGGTTTAAGATTTACACTGAGACACACAGAAACACACCAGTCTACCAACTCTCACTCTTGGCTCCCAGCAGGTGTGTGTGTGTGTGTGGACGGCCACGCCCTAGTAACCCCGCCCAGCCAACCCAACAAACCAGGTGAGGGTAGCCACTGGACTGACCTATACCAGTTCATTAGTGGTCGGGAGTATCTCTTTGTCTCCCCCCCCAGCGTTACGGCGGAGTGTCACAGCAGTACACAGCAGCCCGAGGGCAGTGTGGTGGTGTGTCTTGAGGGAGTGCAGCTTCTCTTGTCAGTTGTGGGCCTCAGGTGCTGTGGAGGTCACTGGCCATCCACACCTCCTTCTGCACTTTTTTTTCTCTCTCTTGTCTCGACATTCTCCTGCCACTGGATTCCGATGCGGCCAGACAAGGGTGCGGGGGGACAGGGAGACAGCCACCGTGCAGCAGCAACAGCGGCGGTGGCTCCACCTTTAACCACTCACGCACAGCGGCTGTACATCATGCCATCCGCCCATCATTACTATCATCTCCGTGAACTCTGTGTCGCATCACGTGGGTGTTGACGGCAGTGAACCAAGACGACGCTGAAGTTGCTAACATAAGTCTTGTTGTGACAGGCGGCTCCAGTCTCTAGTTTATTTCTTTGTTGGTCTGAGCACCTCGACTGTCTACTAAAACCACTTCAGGACCTCTTGCTGGGGGTGTGGTTTCTGGCTACTGGAGGTCCTTCATCCTCCTCAGATGAAGTATGACTGTAGTTAAGCTGAAAGATTGGAAGGAAGCTGGAAAATACGCCATAAGCGGTGAGCTTCTGAGACCACGATGGCATAATGTTACAGTAATAAATGTCTGCGTGTGTTGTCTGTTGCTCGAGCACTTTATTGCCTCCTGACAGACGGCGCCAAGGAGTCTTATTCTCCTGACAGGAATAAACAACGTCACTGTACCTCATACATTAGTTGGTCTTCAGCACCAATGTGCATTTAATTCAAGAACTGACTACACGTCCATAACACTTGACCTTTGCTTTATGGAGCAGTCGTCAGGACGTGCTACTGACCTTGCTTCCTGGATAAAATGATCCCTGGAAGGCGTTCACCTCCCAATTTTATAAGAGAATCAAGCGTTCATATCTGAGCATAATAAGACTCACAAGCTCTGTAAATTCGTGGGATCCTCGCGAGGTTTATCGACCATATATCCGGCTTACACTCCGGGGTGGGCGAGGGTACAGCTGCTTCTCTCTGGTTCTCTTTGTACGAGGCGACGCCATATACGAGGCCTCCCACCCACCACAGTGTACTTGAAGAGCGGATGTTAGGTTAGTTAGTTGACGTAAACCACATGTGGAGCCTCGGCGAGGAAAATGAGTCTCTCCAGATGACAAAGTGACCTCTTGGAGTTAAAGGACTTACAGACTCTGAAGAAGGTCCTGTAACTCACCTCATTATATTAGTTAACGAGGATCGAAGCCATTTATAACCATACTCAATTTCTCATTATTTATTAAAGCTAAAAAAAAACTACATGTTTATAATCATATTAGTTATTGGTGTTG